GATGGAAGGGACCACTCAGATCATCTAGTCTGACCACCTGGATACCGTAAGTAAGGTAATTTCATCTGGTGATTCCTGCCATGGAGGGAATTATTATTCCCTGCTGTGAAAGTGAGTGCTGTTGAGCCCACTAGCTCAATAAGCCCACTACAGTATATCATTTAAAAAGTTGTAGAGACTTAAAGGAATGTGGTAGACTCTGTCAATGGTTAATTTCTTTCACTGTTGACAGTCTGAACGTTATTTCCAATCTGAATATTTCTAGCTTCATCTTTCAACCATTTGGTTTTGTTCTGCCCTTGTCTGCTAGACATCACTTGAGATAGTGTCCCATATTTCTTAATGGTTTATCGTGTATTTATGTCCATGCTGCCAATGTAAAATTGACAGTGCCTTAAGCTCTTAGGATCAAGATGGTATTGGCTTTTGAATGACCATTGCAAAAGATGGAAGGTGACACTTTTCATAGAAATTTTCTCTCTCTGGTTGGTTTGAAACATTGACTCTTTGCAATTATACATAATTTAATAACATAATTGATAAAAAGATATTTTCAAAATGTTTCCACTTTATGCACTGAACATCCCAGAGTGCACTTATCCAAGATTTAACATCCAGAAAGAATAGCAAATATGGCAGTTGACCAGCTTGGCTTAACAGTGAAATCTCTGGTGAGCTTAAACACAAAAAGGAAGCTTACAAGAAGTGGAAACTTGGTCAGATGATTAGGGAGGAGTATAAAACTATTGCTCGGGCATTAAGGGGAGTAATCAGGAAGGCCAAAACACAACTGGAGTTGCAGCTAACAAAGGACGTGAAGGGTAACAAGAAGGGTTTCTACAAGTATGTCAGCAACAAGAAATAGGTCAGAGAAAATGTGGGATCCTTAATGAATGGAGGAGGCAACCTAATGACAGATGAGGTGGAAAAAGCTGAAGTACTCAGTGCTTTTTTGCTTTGGTCTTCATAGACAAGGTCAGCTCTCGGACTGCTGCACTGGGCAACACAGTATGGGGAGGAGGTGAGCAGCCCTCAGTAGTGAAAGAACAGGTTAAGGACTATTTACAAAAGCTGGACATGCACAAATCCATGGGTCCAGATCTAATGCATCCGAGGGTGCTGAGGGAATTGGCTGATGTGATTGCAGAGCCATTGGCCATTATCTTTGACACTAACCTGTGGAGAGAGGTAGATACACTCAAGGGTAGGGATAGGGTCCAGAGTGACCTAGACAAATTGGAGGATTGGGCCAAAAGAAATCTGATGAGGTTCAACAAGGACAAGTGCAGAGTCCTGCACTTAGGAAGCAAGAATCCCATGCACTGCTACAGCTGGGGACCAACTGGCTAAACAGCAGTTCTGCAGAAAAGGACCTGGGGGATTACAGTGGATGAGAAGCTGGATATGAGTCAGCGGTGTGCCCTTGTTGCCAAGAAGGCTAACGGCATATTGGGCTGCATTAGTAGGAGCATTGCCAGCAGGTCGAGGGAAGTGATTATTCCCCTCTACCCCAGATGTGGCCTCACCAGTGCCGAATATTGTGTCCAGGTTTGGGCCCCCCACTACAGAAAGGATGTGGACAAATTGGAGAGAGTCCAGTAGAGGGCAATAAAAATTATCAGGGGGCTGGAGCACATGACTTACGAGGAGAGGCTGAGGGAACTGGACTTGTTTAGTCTTCAGAAGAGAAGAGTGGGGGGATTTGACAGCAGCCTTCAACTACTTGAAGGGGGTTTCAAAGAGGCTGGAGCCCGACTATTCTCAGTGGTGGCAGATGACAGAACAAGGAGCAATGGTCTCAAGATGCAGTGGGGGAGGTCTAGATTGGATATTTGTTAGGAAACACTGTTTCACTAGGAGGGTGGTGAAGCAATGGAATGGGTCACCTAGGAAGGTGGTGGAATCGCCATCCTGAGAAGTTTCTAAGGCCTGGCTTGACAAAGCCCTGGCTGGGATGATTTAGTTGGTGTTGGTCCTGCTTTGAGCAGGGATTGGACTAAATGACCTCCTGAGGTCCCTTCCAACCCTTATCTTCTATGATTCTATGATCCATAGCAACATGATTCTCTTACACATCAGATAACTTTTATTTGGAATTTCCTTACATTCTAATGACTTTTTTATTAACTGCTGTACAGTGTTTTTTAAGCCATTGTCTCCTAAATTTTATGATCCATATTTTCAAACTTCACTTAAGCTTAAAAAACAGAGACTTTTCTCTTGGAATGTAGGTGACTGGTATAGGCAAGCATTTTGGAGGCTTTCCCCAGTATCAACTTTTTAAAATTTGCATTGGGTTTGTGATTATTCTTGTTAATTGACTTTTGTATAGTGAAGTCTAACAGAGAGGAAAGATGGACCAATGGTTATGGTCCTAGCCTAGGATATGGGAAAGGTGGGGTCAAGTCCCTGCCTTGCCACAAATGTACTTGGGCCCTCGATGTCTCAACTCATTATCTGTAAAATGGGTTAATAATACTTTCCTGTCTCACAAAGGTATTGTGAAGATGCATACATTAACAAGTCTGTGAGATATTTAGATACTATAGTAACAGATACTATATAATTACCTAAAATAGATGTGTGTCCATGGCATGCTAAAATGGGCAAATATTATGGTTCCTACTCAGTTTTTATGTAAGCAAAACTCCCATTGACTTCAGTAGGAATTGATTGAGTTTAAGTTCTTGTTGTTTGGCCCTCACGGACTAGCCTTTGTAAGCAATTTGGATGGAGATGCTTAGTGTAAAAGATGTGAAAGCAGTTGCCAGAGTCAGCAAGAAGGACAAGATACGCTGAGTTGTTTTAGGCATCTTGGTCCCAGGTTATTTGAGAGACAAGGTGGGTGAGGTAATATCTTTTAAGTTGGTCCAATAAAAGACATTCCCTCACCTTGCCTCTCTGTTATGTAGACTCTCAGGAGGGAGCCATCTGCTGGCTTTTGAGGGGTAAAGATTTGGGATAACAAGTTTCATCTCCCATGCTCTGGCTGTCTGTCACTGCTCACCCTGAGTCTATCTGGATTTCTGGAAGATTTTACCTTTGTTCTGCTGTTTGTTTTTCAAGCACTGAATATATGGGGCCAGATCCTCAGTGGGTTTAAATCCGCCAGATACCACTGACTTCAGCAGAACTCTGCCAATGTACACCAGCTGACTATCCGATCCATGGTGTTTGGGTTTTTTTGTAAGAGCTACCCCCTTTTTTCACTTAATAGTTGTTGGCATTTCCTGAGTATTACAATTTAGCTCAGTTTGTATCGCTCCTGTATATACATTTCATTTAATTGCAAGGCCACTTATTTTTTCCCATCTTGCTAAAATTTACAATAAATGAAGAAAAAGAGCCTCAGCTACCAGGATTTCTACTTAATGTTTGTTACAGAAATATTTCAGAAATGAAGATAAATGGTTAGTAAAATAAAACAAATTCTCCTGGCAGAATAACTTTTTTTATGCATGCAAAATTCTAATGGCTGGAGTAGTTAATCACGGCGGAGCCTCCTGTGCTTCTGCTGACTGGTCTGGTCCTACCCTCTTCCCGCACTGCATCCTTGCTGATTGGTAGCAGAAATTGACCAAGGACATTTCCAAAGAGCATTTGAACAGCCTTCCCACCCGCCAGCTCTGATATACAGCACTGCCTGTAAGCCTGACCTTGGTGGACCCAAGTGAGTTTTCTCCATGTTTGCTTCCATGTTTCCAGGACAATCTACTCCACTACTAATCTGAAAGCAGCACAACATCCAGGATGAAGCAAATTTTTAAGCAGAAAATCCTTCAGCACTCATGTAGCTCTCTCCTTCACTGTAATGGTACTGGAGACGAAAGGTACGAGTGGTTTTTGAATCAGGGTTACTTAGCAGTTTACATGAAAATGCCTGACTTAGCATTCCCACTGAGTGGGGCTTTGCATCAATTTTCCCATAGTGCTTCTCCCCCTTCACCTTCCCCCATGCTCTTGAGAGAGTTGCACAGAACTTGCTGTCTTTGCAAGACTTTGTTGATTCATACTGTTAATGGGCAAGTCATGTGTAGCTGTATTATTAGTTTCGCAGTGACAATTCACTGGGATGTTGATGTTCCTCTGAGGTAATCATGACAATCGCTAGGGCATGTGTCCCAAAGGCTGGGGGAGGGTGGTGGTGAGAGTATCCAGAAGAAAAATGATTGACCCGTGTTTTGCACAATTGAGTTAGGACATGGGGATGGATTGTTGGCTTGCATTAGAGGTCATTAAGGCAGGGAAGCTCACTGGATAATTGCATTCTTAACAGTAAACATCTGTCTAACTTTAAACATTTATCAAAGTGAGCTGGATGCCAGGTAGAGGGGAAGTTCAAGGATACAAACAGAGAAAGCAAAGCAAATGGAGTCACTTATACAGGCTTTTATCAAATGGAAAAATGGCTCAGTCTAAAACCTTGGCTCTTGGGTTGAGCCAGGGGAAAAAAGGCAGGTTTGCATCCCAGGAGTTATGTGTAAACCTTTTTATTTATGCATTTATTTTGGTTATTGTTTATTCAGCTCCTGAAGTTTGTTTTGAGTTTGAAGGAATCCCCAGCTTCAATGATCTGATCCCTTTGCTGAGCAGCAGCAGGATTCAAAGCTTTGCCTGTCAGTTTCCAGTTTGCAGCAACTATCGGTGCTGTGGAAGTCAGGTGCTCTCTTAGGGTAACTTGTTCATTTACAAAATGTACATGAGTCCTGTTTCCTGAAACAGGAGGTGACAAGAGGCCCCCTGGGCAACTCCCTCTTGCAGGTAGGGTACCTCTGCCCTGTCCCCTGAAGCAGTTCTCCTGCGCCAGTCTCTCTTTACAGGGCCTCACTGCTTCACAAGCAATCATCTCCTCCTGCTCCAGTCCAAAACTAATAACAAGGGACCAAATATCCTGGAATGGTGAGCTTGTGCTCCTTTTGTGCTCTTCCTCTGTAACACAAAGGACTCTCACAACATCAAGTGCCAGACAACAGAGTGCTCGAGCGCACACAATACCCTCAATGACGCTCAGGATGCAGTTACTGCTTGGTATCTTTGGCTGTGTCTGCTGCCAAAAAGAGATGTGTGTTCACATCCAGATAACTAACTGTAAAATCCTAGTGCAGACAAAGCAGAGGTGGTTTTTATCTTGGTGTAGCTAGGTGAAATCAACACTCTACCTCTCCACCCAGAGCGCAAATGAGTGGTTTCCTGCAAAGCAAGCGGCTGCCACCCGGGTCACGGCCACCGCTACGCCCGCAGGGATGGCAAGGTTTTCCAGTTTTTGAATGCAAAATGCAAGTCTGCCTTTCTTTCCAAGAGAAACCCCCGTCAGATCAGCTGGACTGTTCTGTACAGGTGCAAACACAAGAAAGGGCAGTCTGAAGAAATACAAAAGAAGCGCACATGCCATGCAGTCAAGTTCCAGAGGGCTATCACGGGTGCATCTTTGGCTGAAATAATGGCCAAGAGAAATCAGAAGCCTGAAGTGCGAAAGGCCCAGTGGGAACAAGCCATTAGGGCTGCCAAAGAAGCCAAGAAGGCTGAGCAGGCAACCAAGAAGTCTACACCCTCTACAACAAAGGATCCCACAAAGGCTGCACCTAAACAAAAGATTATGAAGCCAGTGAAAGTTTCTGCTTCTCGTGTTGGTGGAAAGCGCTAACTTGTCAAACAGTAGTTGGTTGCATTAAATAAACCACTGACTGACTTTAAAAAAAAAAAGAATGAAGGAGAGGGAGTGGGGTAGGGGAGGGCAGAGTTTGGATGTGAGAGAACTAAAGCTTCTAATATGAGAACACCATTTTTCAAATAAACCTCCCCGAATTAAGCATTCTGCAGCATTCGACAAAGACAATGACAGAGAAGGGCCCAGACATGCCACTACAAAAGAGAAGTGATCACCTAGTATTAATCAAAGGAGTGTTCTGTCTGACCTGAGTTTCCCTGCTTACGTATATGAACTACAGATATCTAGGAGATGGTTTTCTTTGCATGGGATTTCAATCATGTGTATGTTTCCTAACGGATCAGGAACGTCTGAGAACATGGATTAGCTCTTTCACACAGTAGATTTGCTGTATCCTGTTCTACCAATGACATAGCCAAGGCCGGTCAGACTGAGTGTTCTACTGCAACTTTTTGTTGTTTGTACTTAACTTAAAAAATATATTTTTTTAACTAGTGACATTCCCCATTAAGTCTGGTTTATTTTGCTTTGCTTAGAGGTGGGCTCTTTGGAAGGAGGTAGCAGTGCTGTGAGAGAATGCACACTGCCTCCGCTGAGCTTGTTTGGTGGACAGTGTATTTGTTTCCATTGCTGTTAATTTAGCACCCAGCATGAGGACTAGGAGTGGGAATTTCAATAGTTGTTTTTTTCAGGAAGACTTGGTGTAAAACATTTTTAAAGTGCCTACGTGACTTAGGAGCTTAGGTGTCCTTTGAAAATTGGTCTTAGGCTCCTAAGCCACTTAGACATTTTTGAAAATGGTAGCCCTGTGCTTCTAAGTAACTTGGGTGTTTTTTGAAAATTCAACCCTAAATCCATTTTAAAAATGTCCTTAGCTACTGATTTGTAGTCTGTTTTTAATGAAAAGGTAGTGTGATCCAGAGGACAGGACACTGGACTGGGGGTTAGGAGACCCAGATTCTATTTTCAACTCTGCCAGTGGCTCATGGTGTGACCTTGTTACTGCTCTTTGCCTCAGTTTCCCCATGTGTTAAATTGGGCTAATGATGCTTACCTTCCTTTACAAAATATTTTTTGAGTTCTCCTGATGAAAAACATTATATAGAAGGTATTATTGTGGAAGTTCAGGAAACTTTAGGAAGCAAAACAAATGACAAGTCAGATTTTTACCACTTTGTCCTTTTTGTGCCCATTAAAGCATTTATCTATCTCACTGACCCCAGAGATAGTTAGCTGTTAAAGTGGCATTAAATACCAGCAGACACATGTGGGTGCAAAACTGTACTTGCCCAAGAAAAGTGCTGGCTGTGAACAAAGAGGTCTGATTGGAGCTGGCACTTGAAAAATCAGTCCCTAAAATCTGTAGTCCCGTGTTTTGTTTGGTTTTTTAAAGAAACCCTCCCAAAGCATTTAACATTGCCACCTTAAATGTTTCATCCCAATGCATTGTTCCTACAATCACAATAGGTTCTTCACCCCTCCATCATGATCACAACATCAATCCCTCCTGGGATTCGGTGTGGCCATCGGATAGACATTTCTCTAATGATTCAATATTAAACTGCTCTGTGTTCCTTGCATCATCAGGGAAGTGGCAGTCTTGATAAAGTACAGCCTGCCCATCTGTAATACTATATCAATGGAGAGACAAGATGCTGGGGCAATATATTACACTGTAATGTGTGATTATGAAAGATGCATCTGGGGACCTTGGGGAAAGAATTGTCTTTTTATTTCAACCTTCATAAAATAATGTCATTCGGACATCCCTGGGCCTTTATTACATATTACTTACATAGCACCGGGGTACAACCTGGAACTGTGGGACTGCAGTGCCCCCTTAACTCTCCAGCCTGGGCTGTCTCTCTCAATGTTATGCCAGTGACAAACAGCAAATCCTTCCAGGAATTCTCACTCAGCCATCAGCATGTGGAGCCCCACACTGAGCTAAACTGCATGAAGGCTCACTAAGTCACTGACGAATTATACAGGGAGAGGCACCAGCCAATCACCCCAGCCTTGCATCCCCAGTGCAAGCTCATTAATTAGTTCACCACTCCAAGAAAGGGTAGCGGACATGCAACAGTCCTTGAGCTGAGATTTCCCAACCACTTCAACCAAAAACACACTGTTCTAGATAAAATATACAACAGATTTATTAACTACAGAAAGATAGACTTTAAGTGATTATAAGTAGCAGGCTAGAGCTCAAAGCTGGTTACATAAGAAATAAAAATAAATGTGCAGTCTAAATTCTATAAACTAAGTAGGACTTGAATCATGCACTTTCTCACCCTAACAAATGTTACAGGCAGCTCACAGTTCTCAATATGCAGGCTGGATTCCCTTCCCAGCCTGGGATCACCCTTCCTCAATTCAAAGTCTTTGTCCTCCAGATGTTATTCCAGGTGTTGAAATGGGGTAGGAGAGAGGCCTAGTGATGTCACTATCCCTCTTTTATACTTTCTTCCAGCTGCTAAAAAGATCCTTTCTGCAACGTAGGGTTTAGGTAGCCCTCATTGCATATGTGTCCTCAGAGGAGTCTCTGGGATGGCCATTGGGAGAATGGTTTCCCCATAATGGCCCATCAACACATGTCTGGCTGGTCCTGATGTAAGCACCTTTTACTAGGTACTCCTTTGTTGCCACTGGAAGGCTGGCTGTGCGCATTTCCCACTGTCACAACATATTTCAGTAACACACACAAAGTAATACTTCATAGCTTCACATAACATAAAATTGAACAAGATAGTATTGTTCAGCTGATCAAGATTTTTTAAATGTTACCTTTCAAGGCATACTTTACAAAACATATCATAATCATATCACAGTGGTGAATATGGGGGTCCAGGGTGCCACTTTGAGGTACAGTGTCACAGTGACTTCTAATGAGAGATGTGAAGGAGGAAAGGGTAGAGGTGTAGCAAGCCAGGTCAATCAGTGGGTGCCCAGGAACTGGGGCCATGTAGAAGAAGGTCCAAAGATGAATGAGGAAGGGAAGAAAGGAGGTCTGGGTACACATTGTAAAGCAGGTCAGCATAGAAATAGAAGGTAAATAATACAATTCTCCAGTCCCTGACTTACTGTAGGACTTTTCTATATGGGACACTACTATGCGGCAGGTCAGAGCGTGAATCTACTGTGCACTAGTTTACCATGCAGTAATGTCCTATGTGAGCACCGCTACAGCACACAAAAAGTCCCAGATGGTCATTTGGCTTACTACCCTTTACAAATAGTAATATGCTAAACTGCCAAGTGCACTGTATTGGTGGCCACATGGGGCATTACTGTGCAGCAAACTGGTGCACTGTAGATTCACACCTTGGCTTGCCACACAGTAATTTACCATGTAGACAAGCTAGTAAAACAATACATGGTACACACCCGCATGATCCCAACAGGACAGCCTTGCTCAGCATTCCATAGGAATAAGAGTCTCCTACTTTCCTGCTGCGCAGCCTCTAAAATATTTGCATATATACCAGTATACCACTGGGGGAGAGAGTGGGGAAGAGGGAATTCTGTTCTAACTTCAAAGTTAAGGAATGTTTGCTCATGGACATCTAGTACTTTTGGGTCTGTTTACTGGCATCTTAATATTTCACCAGTCCTACAGAAAGTAGCATCTCTATGCCAAGTACAGACAGAGGAACTCCATGCTTGTCAGTGGAATTCACCTTGCATAAAGGAATCTTTTGTAGGACAGTTGGAGTTCTAATGTTCCATGCATGTAGGGCAATACCTGTTGTGATGGGTTCCTTGGGGTGCAACTTGGGAACTGGGGTACTTCTGAGCCTTCTGTCTTACCAACCTTGGCTCCCTCTCACACTGTGATGCTGTGACAAGCTGCAAACCCCTTTGGGTCCTGCACTCACACGGCCATCCACAGGCAGGGACACACCCATTTGAGTTACATGATTGATTTCGCCAGCCACTCGTGAACCAGCAATAGAGAGGCTCTAGCCAATTCCCCACAGCTCCCCAGCCTAGGACTCCAGATCTGTACTGTCCTGACCTGGTCTGAAGCCGGACCAATGTAAGTTTATTGCCCAGTCTGCCCCTCCCTCAATGTGGACATGCACCAGCTCTTGTTACTGAGCAGATTTCCCTTGCACTTCAAGCAGCACAGGTAAAAAATATATATAAAACAGATTTATTAACTACAGAAAGATAGATTTTAAGTGATTATAAGTAGTGAGCGTATTGCTCAAAGTTGATTACCTAAGAAATAAAAGTAAAAACACAATCTGAGTTCTATAAATTAGACAGGATTTGAATCAAGCAGTGTCTCACCCTGATGGTATAGTTCCTTCACACACAGGCTGAGATTCTCCTTTCCAGCGTGGGCCACCTCCCCAGGACAGTCTTTGTGCTCCAGATGTGCTTCCAGTGGTTTAGTTGGGGGGGGGGGGGGGGAGTGAGGCCAAGTGATGATGTTACTTGTCCCTTTTATAGCTTCTTCCAGCTTGCAGGAAAGATTCTGTGCTATGACAGGAGTCAAACAGTCTGTATTGTTTCATGCTTTCCCTGAGAGGTTTCCATTGCATACAATTCCTGGGTAGTCCTTGTGATGGTGCATTTCCCTTAATGGGCCATCATCAGTGTCTGGCTTCTCCATTGTTGTACCTGAAAAGCTGGTTGTGGGTGTTTCCAACTTCACAACATATTTCAGTAACATAGACATAGCAAAACTTCATAACTCCACATGTATTGATAGCACATACAATTTAACAGGATATTAATGTTCAACAGATTTAAGGCTTTTAAAATGATACCGTACAAGGCAAACTTTGTATAAAACATATCCTAATCATATCACCATGATAAATATAGGGGTGCCAGGGTGTTGCTTTGGGGTACAGAGTGTCACACCTGTACAGCTGCAACATGAGTTGCCTAACAATACACCCCACTGGTTTCTAACTTGTTGATTTGGAAAGTAGTTCTTAAAAAGTCTGTCAGCCACAGACAACATTTCCAAAAGAGCCTGAATGATTTAAGAGTCTAATAACATTTTCAAAAAT